AGGCTATTATTCAAGTTTTGGGGGAGTCAAAAGTCATAGACGGATTTTCAGTTGCACAGGGTGTTTGGCACCCTGTTGTTTAAAGGTCATCTGTAGAAAGAGAAGTAGAGTTGTCTTTACTTGCAAATAGCATGGCTTTCTATTCAGACAAAATACTACACTGAAATAAGAGTATATGTAGCCAGCTGTCTATATCCATGGGTTTTGCATCCATGAATTCACCCAGCTGTGAATCGGGTGCAGGCGGAGTACATCTCTATTGAACATTCATAGACTTTTTTTTTTCTTGTCATTATACCCTAAATAATACAGTATAATAAGTTTTTACATAGTATTTACATTGTATTAGGTATTTTAAGTAATCTAGAGATGATTTAAAATATATGGGATATAGGATTAGAGTTGAAAAAAAGAAAAAGTATACGGGAGGATGTTAGTAGGTTATATGCAAATACCACACCATTTTCTATCAGGGACTTGAGCATCTGTAGGGGGTCACGGATGCCAAGGGACAAGTCAGCTTATTTTTTTTAACTCCTATTTCCATTTGTGACCTAGATCTTACCCTTTTGCCTGTTCAAGGACTTTGTTCATGCAGCTCTCCCTCACCAATTTTTAAATTTTTGTTTTCCTCTCTCTTCTGGATTATCTCAATCAGCCTATGTGAGAGTATCTCTAAAATATCCTCCACCCACTCTCATCACGTACTTTTCCAGCCACAACCCCATTTCTCTGTTCCCTTTACAGCAAAACTGTTGAAGAGAATTGCCTATAGTCGTCGCCTCAGCCTTTGTTTGCCATTTTTTCTCTCTCTTTTTACAAACCTTTTTATTACTCTTCTCTGAGCACAACCTGTGTCAGCAAGAGGACTGGGCTTGTCTATGTCACAGGCACACTTTAGGCATGTGCACACTCCTTCCTCCTCCATGCCAGTCTGTCTCTCAGCCTCACCCTTTCACTGACTCCCCGACCCCAGCGGGGCCATATGTGACCTTCTTTGCTGCATCCAGTGTCCTCTGTCCTCATCTTACTCAGCTTCTCAGCAGCATCTGACACAGTGACTCGCTCTCTCCTCTCCAAGGCACTTTCTTTACCTGGCATTTGGGACACCAGAGTCTCCTCATTCCCCTTCTTCCTTCCCAGTCTCCTGTGTCCATGGTCCCTGGCTCTGTCCTGGGATCTCTTCTGTCGCCTTGTCCTCTTCTTGGGTGGTCTCGTCCAGTCCTTTAACACCGTCGAGTCACTGAAGATCGCTGGTGTATATCCCCAGACCCCTCTCCCCAGAGTCGAGATCTGTAAATCCAAGTACTGAATCTCCACTTGCATGTCTAATAGGTGCCTCAAGATTGACCTTTCAATCTTTTTTTTTTTGAAGGAGACTTTTTGTTGTTTTTTTTTGTACAGAACACTCAACAGTACATTTTGCTGAGTTTCGTGGCTAGTTCTTTAAGACTTTGCTTTCTCCAACTTGGCAATGTGAGCCACAGCTTTTGGACTCAGGACGTTGCCTCCTCATTGACGGCGAACCTCCTCATGTCTGTCAGTGTAATTGGTCCTGATAGCTCCCATCAGCTTAGCCAGAGCTCCTTTGTCTTCTGAGTTAACCTGTGTGAAGGCAACCATGATACAGGTCTTCCTGTGGACTAGATGCCCCAGTCTGCCTTTTCCTCTGATAATACACTAAGGGACCTTCATTTTACTATACAGGGCAGGCAGGAAGATGGCCAGCTTGATGGAATCCACATCGTTTGCAGCCAACACCAGCTGAGGCTTCTTGTTCTCCACCAAGGTGTTGACAGTGTTAACTCCTACGTGAACAGGTGGCTTTTTGGTGATATCCCCTTTGCCAGAGGTTTGTTCTCAGCTCGGGCCAGCACCCTTTGCTTCTTCCCTTGCTTTATCTCTGACCTGTACTTGTGGGCCAGCTTAAGCAGCTGAGTAGCTGTCTGGTGGTCCAAGAACTGTGTGACCTGGCTAATGGCAGGAGGTACTTTCAGCTGCTTATAGAGGATAGCTCTTTGCCACCGCAACCAGATGCAGCAAGGTCATCTGACAAAGCAGGTGATGTCCCTTTTGGGCTGGATGTCCTGTCCAATGCCAGAATTCTTAGGACCTTTCTCAGATAGGGGATTCACCACCTTCTTGGCCTCCTCCTTCTTCACGACATCAGGGGCTGGGGCTGCCTTCCTTTCTTTCAGCATCCTGAGTGCCTGGAGGAAGGAGAAAGGAAAGGAAATTGTTGACCTTCCGGTCTTTCCCTCTGAACTTGTTCCTCCCTGACTGTTCCTCATCTTGCTTAATGAGATACCCTACCCAACACACTTGCTCAAGTCCCCAAACCAGGTCCATCCTTGATCTGTCTCCCTCACCCCCAACATTCAATCTGTCAGCCTTCCCTTTTGGGTCTTCTCCCAAGTTCATCATGTCCTGATTCTGCTGCTACAGTCCGAACCCTGCCCACTACTCTTACCTAGGCTATTGGCATTAGTCTCTCCAATTAGCTTTTTGCCTTCCCCTTGTCCTCCTCTGCCATCTTTTCCTTCACGGCACCCAAAATGACCTTTTCAGCTATAACTCAGGTCATACCACTCCCAGGTCATACTACTCCCCTGATAAACCTCAGTAGCTTCCTATTATACTTAGAATAAAATGTCATTATTTCTACCATAGTCTACAGGGCCTTAAAGATCTGGGCCGCAAATGCCCTCTTACCTCATTGCAGCCCTCCCTGGCCCTCTCCGGCTCCATCTACTCTGGCCTTCCTAATCATTCTCCTAACCTCGACATAGGTTCCTTGGGCCCCAAGTGGCCTCCCCTGATGTGTGTGGCTTGCTTCGTTTCATCATTGAGGTCTGTGCTCAGATGTCATTTCTCTGGAGATGCCCTCCCAGGATGGCTCTCTCTAAAATATTTGCTACCTTCCCAACCATGCCTGTGCTCTCAGCTTGCTGTATTTTCTTTCTGTTTCTTATATGCCTGAAATTTTTCTGTTTATATGCTATTTTTTTTTTTTGAATTGGAGTCTCACTCTGTCATCCAGACTGGAGTGCAGTGGCCGCTTACTTATATTTATATTTTTGTTTATTGTCTGTCTCTTCCACTGGAATAGACTGGAATAGGAGCTCCATGAAGGCAGCATCCTTATCTGCTCTGTTCTTGCCTATATCTCTTATGTTTAGAACAAGGCTGGCAAGTAATAGGTGCTCAGTTAATATCTGTTGAGTGAATTTCAGCACTTAGCAGTTATAAAACACACTGGGGAAAAGCAGTGTATTTACAGCAGTGTATCTCTTAAACATCAATAAGTCCGAGATAAGCAGCAAAAATGGGGTATTATTTTTTCCCTAGCAAATTGGAAAAGTTAGTTTTAATGATCATGTTGGTAAGGGTGCTGGGAAATGGGCCCTCTCATTTGCCACTGGTGGAAATATAAAATGGTCTAAGTTTTCCTAAATAGTGAGTCATGGGTGATTTTTATCTCAGTTTTTGTGGTTTGCTGTGTTTCTCCATTTTTTCCAATGGTTTGTCCCCCCACTCCAAGAATTACTTTATAAATCAGGAAAAAATCCAGTTTTTTAAAAAAAAAATTTTAATTAAAAAAAAAATTAACCTGGCTGGATCCTTGCACTGCAAGCTTGTGAAGCTAATCCCAGTGGTAGGATGTCTTGTTCTGTTGCTAAACCTCTTCTCTTAAGAATGTATCCTCTTAATTCTGTGTCAGGTTTCTGTGGCATGATGCAATAGTGGTCACTGAAAGCTGTATGTGCAGAATTGCTCTTGTTCTGAGGTCCTGGGCTGGTTTTGTGAGCTTGCCGGAAATGTAGGGCTGGGAAAAAATGCAGCACTGAGGCAGGGCCCACCCAGTTTGAGGTGGGGTTCCACAGCCCTTCCTGCCAAGACACAGGTCTCCACAGACAGGGAAGCCTAGCATTTCTTGGCAGATTCCCTGCCCTCCTCCCTCCTTGCTTGGGATGGAACTCAAAACAACCCTAATTACAGCCACACTTGCCTCCCTCTTCTAGATGCAGCTGGTCTTCTGATGCCTGCTTTCCTGCAACACATCCATGCCCCGTTCTGCCAGTGCCCAAGTGGCCAATCTTCCTGTCTGGGTCCTTCCCCAGAGCCCTAGAAAGGAAGCTCACAGCTGAATGGCCTAACCAGGGGGCTGTTCTGCAGAGTTTTCCTTTGATTCTTCCTTTTCTGGAGATATGTTGCCAGCTCGACACTTCATTATGTTGCTTTTTGGGCTTGGTGGTGAAGTTCAAGACTGTTAGCTCTGGGCTGTTGCATTCGCATTTTCTCAGCTTCATCCCTCCCCGACTCTGGACCTCTGACAGTTTGCACAACCTCAGGAATCTGCCAGTGGACTGAGGATTGTTTTGAGTGGCACTGAGGGTTGGGGCTGCCTCGGGATATTACTTCCCCAGTGTTTTGCAGACTGAGTGGCATACACAGTAATGACTGTGGTATTCCAAGGACAGGGACCTGGTGAAGTGGCAGGGAGGCAGATTTTAACCGTGGTCTTCTGTTTGAAAACCTGCCCCTTCTCCCTCGGGGCTAAGGGGTTGTAGCAGAGGAACTGGCTGCTGTTGCTTGCTGGTAGGGTGGCGAGACTAATGAAAAGCTTCCCTTCCTTCCTTAACCTGGTAGAAGTCTGATTGTGTTCTAGAGATGTATAATCCAGCTTCATGCTTTTTAAAGAAAGCGCCCATGGAAGAGGTAAGAGAGAGGTTCTCTCCCAGAATAAACACGATCTCCGTCAGCCTCTGTCACAGATTGAGCCTAGGTGGGACCTGGGTCCTCTGCCCTGCTACAGACCGCAGGGTCCAGGGAGACTGTAGTTCACTTGTCCCTTTTGCCCAGCTGTGCTTTGGCTCGGTTATCATTTATGTGTACTTTGGTGCTTACTTGATTACCGACCGCCCAGCCTGAGGGGCTCAAAATAATTGCGGTTGATCTGGTTTGGACTTAACTGCCTTCTTTTACTTTCCTTCTTACAGCTTAAACTTTGGAACAAATACCGAATTTCCAACATTCCATCGCTAATATTCCTAGACGCCACCACCGGGAAGGTTGTATGCAGAAATGGGCTTCTGGTGATCCGAGATGACCCAGAAGGTAAGACCTTGGCCTGTCCACCATGTACTCTTATTACCCAACCCTCTTCTCCTTTCCCCTACTCTAATCACCTCCCCATTGGTAGAGTGAGTACTAATGAAATATACATAGGTGGGCTTACGTGACTAGAGAATATTGTCTTGTGAAATTGTAGTATTCTCTAGGACATGGTTAACGTCCCTCCTAGGGGCTTTAATTCATGGGCCAAAGGGAGATCGACTCTGAAAAAGGAAGCTCAGCTTGGAGGGCTGAGGAAACTGGAAAAGCTCTTAGAGCCCACATACTGACTCTAAGAGTCCAAGTACTGATTTCTAGAGCCCAGACACTGACCTCTGGAGCCTAGACACTGACCTCTGGAAGCTAGATCCTGACTTCAAGAGCCCAGATACTGACCTCTAGAACCCAAATACTTACTTCTGGAGCCCAGATAATAAACTCTGGAGCCCAGATACTGATTTCTAGTGCTGTTTCAACACCAGCTACCCCTTTAACAGAGGCAGGCTAAGTGGGTTTTTTTTCTCCCCTTTAAAATATTACTATAGCAAAGTTGCAGTCCCTGCGTTGCTCTTCTGGCCTCAGCGGTGAGTGCACCTCATTTCTTGGTGATGTCCGAGTCCTGCAGGCCTTAGTCTTGCTGGCCAGCTGGCCTCACACAAGATGAGCTGCTCTGATCACCCTGCTCAGTAGGCATTTGTCTAAGGACTGCTTCTTTCTCCCCTGCACTGGAGTGATAAAAGGGTTGTAGGATCTCTCCTCTCTTATTTATTGACTCAGTGAGAGGATTCAACCCTGCTCACAAATTTTTCCAGTAAAAATTTCACTTGCTTCAAAGAATTGCTCTGAGTAAAAACCAGGATGTGGTAGAACCAAATACACACACATCTCTGAAGACTGTTAACCATGCAGATTCCTTGACCCAACCCCCAGAGAATTTTGGATTCTTTTTGTTTCAGGGTAGGCTTGGCTGCCTGCATTTTTAACTAGTCTGTGCTTCTCCCTCCCATCTCCCACCCCCAGGCAATTTTGAGGCAGTGGTCCATGGACCACCCGTGAGAAAACACTGTTTGGCTGAGTTGAAGCAAGTTATTTATACTTCCTGCCTGGAGTTTATGTGTCATCAGAATGTTGGCCATCTGGGTTGGGTGGGCTTTACTCTTTTATTAGATGTGAATTCTCACTGGGTTCCCTGAACCCCAACCCAGACCAATGGAACCAGAATCTATGGAAGTGGGGCCCAGGAACGCCCTATTTAATATTCCCCAGCGGATTCCAAAATGCAGTCAGAGTTGAAAACCACTGAGTTGTGAGGATTGGGACGGAATCGACTCAGAGTTGATGCCTGAGACAGTGGTTCCCAACCCCAGCCCATCATCAACGTTATCTGCCTGTTTTGTTTTGGCCATAAGTTTTTGCCTTACTCCTGTGTCCTGAGACTCAGGAGGTGACCTGAACATGTGGATTTTTCAAAAAACCCCAGGAAATAGACCTTCTCATCATCCAGGTTTGGGAACTTTTGCTTTGAGGGTAGGTAGAGCTTTGCCTTGAGTTCTACATGGATTCCTGTGTTGGCTACAGGTCCTGTGGATGTGCTAACAAATGCTATTTGATGAAAATGTTGTCATGCCTGCAGCTCTGAGGCCTCCTGGGTCCCAGGCTATAAATAAAGAATGTATGTATGTATGAATGTATTTAGACTAGTCAAGTACAGTAGGAGAAGGGAGGAAAGAGTAGAACAAGGAGTTCAATCTGTAACTGACTGTGAACAATCAATTGAGATAACTCACTACCTTTATACCTCACAGCCCACAATGAGGAATCTTAACATTCTCACCATCTGTTGCCTGTTTCAGGTCTGGAATTCCCTTGGGGACCTAAACCCTTCAGGGAAGTCATTGCAGGGCCCTTGCTTAGAAATAATGGGCAGTCCCTGGAGAGCGGCAGCCTGGAGGGGTCTCACGTGGGAGTCTATTTCTCTGCACATTGGGTGAGTGTTTGGTCCCTCTTTAGTCCAGACAGAAAGAAGCAGTGATGTTGCCACCAAGTGCAGCTGTGGTTGGCTTCTGGAGGTGAGACTGGCCAGGCAGGAATTTCCTGGCCTTCTGGCCTTCTCCTGTGCCCAATGCATTGTTGGTATACAATAAGTCCTTATTATTATAAATGATAATAGCAGCATTACTTCTTTTAACTGGTCTATAAAGATATTCCTCTTAACCTATTTGGATGAGACTCCTGAAGTACCCTATAGGGGTTTGTTTTAACTGCCTTCTGGCACATTGCATGGGGTGGGGAGGCATCTGTACTGGATGCTCACCAATAAGAGAAGCAAGTTTATTTTCACCTCATTCGTTCATTCATAAGAGATGGAGTCTCGCTATGTTGCTCAGGCTGGAGTGCAGTGGCATGATCATAGCTCACTGCGACCTTGAACTCCTGGGCTTCAAGTAATCCTCCCCGCTCCCAGCCTCCTGAGTAGCTGGAATTATAGGCAAGTGCCACCACACCCAGCTTATTTCCACCCCCTTTATAAACTGGGTTTCACTGTCCTAACCCTACTTGGGTTTTGCTTACCTGGCCTCTGATGGCAGGCAGCTGAGAAATGGAGAAAGTACACCCTGCAGCAGGTTCCTGCTCTTGTCTTTCAGTGTCCACCCTGCCGAAGCCTCACCCGGGTCCTAGTGGAATCCTACCGGAAGATCAAGGAGGCAGGCCAGAACTTTGAGATCATCTTTGTTAGTGCGGACAGGTAACACATGTGGTGCAGTGGCAGTGCCACTGCCCTTTCCTGCAGGTGGCTGACATCCATTTATTTCATCTTACATTTCTTACGTCTTAATTGTAAGGCTGGGAGGTAGAGATGGGGGAAGACATATCTGGGATTATTGGCAGAGAGACAGATATATTGCACGTTTACTCACTGAATTATCTGAAGGGGAGTCAAGAAACACCTCTTCTTACTGTAAATACTGGCTACATCCCAATTCAGGCCGGAATTGTTTGAGATTAGCATGTGTTTTCTGATTTGTTCAGCTTTGTAGATTGTGGTTTTAAAAAATGGGAGATAGGAGAGGAAAAGAGCCAGAGATGAATGCAGTGTGACCTCTGTCTTGGATGGCCATGTGATCGTTTTCTTAACTCTGACCATGGATTTTGGGGGCTCATTGTGCAATAGATAAGGCATCACAAAACAAAAAGGGCACACTTTCTTCCTGGAGTAAGCCAGGTCCTCTCAGCCTCAGTTTCCTCTGCTTCTTGCCATGTCTCTGACTTCACTCGTCAGTGAGCTTCCTTCATCTCAGAACTCCAGCCCTAGTTCAGACTGAGCCCCCAGGCGCTTCTGCCTCTTAAGTTCCTGTCATGAACAGGAAGCTCCATGGAAGGGTCACTGAGGTGCCAGTACACAGAGGGCATTGTGCACATGCTGTGTCCTTGACATCCACATCATCCTGCACTCAGTTTATTGGTCTATGGTCCTGCTTCTCTACGCCACAGATCTCCATGTCAGCTTGAAGACAGCCAGGTCAACATAATGAAACTCCATCTCTATAAAAAAACAAAAACAAAAACATGGCTGGGTACAGTAGTTTACACCTACGATTCCAGCCATTGCGAGGCCAAGGTGAGAGGATTGCCTTAGCCCAGGGATTCGAGACCAGCCTGAGCAATTTGACAAACCTCATCTCTACAACAAATCACAAAAATTAACCAGACTTGGAAAGCTGAGGAGGAAAGATTGCCTGAGCCCAGCAGATTGAGGCTGCGGTGGCCGTGAGCATGCCACTGCACTCCAGCCTAGGCGACAGTGAGACTCCAACTAAACACACACACACACACACACACACACACACACAAAATGAGCTGGGTATGGTGGCACGTGCCTGTAGTCTCAGCTACTTGGGAGGCTAAGGCAGAAGGATCACCTGAGGCGAGGAGGTTAAGGCTGAAGTTAGCTATGATCATGACCACTGAGTGAGACTCCAACTCAAAAAAAAGAAAGAAAGAAAGAAAGAGAATAGAGGCTTGGACTAACATGTTGGCATGCTTAGCCTCTCATCATGTGAGCCATTTCTGACCTTAGTCCCCAGTATAATTTAAAAATATGATGATCACACAGTGGACTATAAGTGGGTACCAAAAGACAACTTATATAAAAACTATAACTCTTTTTAAAAAAGAAAAATATATAAATAGTCAGGCACAAGTCATTGTTCTATGCACAAATTAGAAATCTTACAGGGAATGTGGTGGCTGTGTACATCTAAGCACTTTAGAAAAGTAAGACCTGCCGGGCTCGGTGGCTCAGCCTGTAATTCCGTGCCTTTGGGAGGCTGAGGTGAGTAGATTGCCTGAGCCCGCGGGTTCAAGACCTGCCCGGGCAACTTGGGGAGACCTCATCTCTACAATAAATCAAAAAATTAGCCGGGCATGATAACACACGCCTGTAGTTCCAGCCACCTGGAAGGCTGAGGCGGAAGGATCGCCGGAGCCCAGCAGGTCGAGGCTGCGGTGGCCGGGAGCGGCCACTGCACTCCAGTCTGGGCGGCAGAGTGAGACTCCAACTCAAATAAAAAAGAAAGAAAAGAAAAGTAAGACCTGTCTGTGTTTCATTGAAAAATGAGAAGTCGGACCTGAGGTAAATGGGTAGGATGCAGGCTTGTGGGCTCCTGAAGTGGCCTAGCGTTTTAGTTTGGGATTCACCTGTTGTATGGAGGCATTTGCTTCCTGGTGGATACCGGAATGGGTAGAATAACACATACCTTTTGCCTGGTGTCTGAGAAGCGCAGTGGTTAGAGACCCCTGCTTCTGCAGGAGCCCCAGGCACACCTTGGTAGAGGTGAGAGGCCCCATGGGTGGTGCAGGTGGGGGTAATAGAGCTTTGTTCTCCATGTGTGTCTCTGTAGGTCGGAGGAGTCATTCAAACAGTACTTCAGTGAGATGCCTTGGCTCGCGGTCCCCTACACTGACGAGGCCCGGCGGTCGCGCCTCAACCGGCTGTATGGAATCCAAGGTTGGTGGTTCAGGCCCTGGCTCCATGTGGCCCCTTGGCTCATCTGGCTCACCATGTCTTTGGCTTCTCTCTGAGAAGCAGGGCATCATTATTTCCATGAATATTCATGTTCCTCAACATCTTAGAGATTACTTGGTATGAATTGTATGGTACGTAAATTATCCCTCATTAAAGTTGTTAAAAAAAAAAAAAAGTAGAGCCAGGCTTGGTGGCTCAGCCTATAATCCCGCGCCTTTGGGAGGCTGAGGTGAGTGGATTGCCTGAGTCCGAGGGTTCGAGACCCGCCTGGGCAGCAAGACCTCATCTCTATAATAAATCAAAAAATCAGCCGGGCGTGGTAGCGCGCGCCTGTAATTCCGGCTACTTGGAAGGCTGAGGCGGAAGGATCGCCGGAGCCCAGCAGGTCGAGGCTGCGGTGGCCGGGAGCGGCCACTGCACTCCAGTCTGGGTGACAGAGTGAGACTCCAACTCAAAAAAAAAAAAAAAAAAAAGAAGTGCTGCCCGGAAGACAGCTGCTTCTCACTCCCTGGTGTAGTGGAGTTCTATATGGTTGGGACATGGCGCACACACTCCCAAATGACTTGGCCACATCCTACCCCCAGGATTCTACTGTCAAACAGACTTGAGAATGATCTTCATTTCCATCACCCTGAGTCTTTGAGCCTCAGTTTCCTCATCTGCAAAACTGAGTGATAAATCTCTATTATCAATAATTGTTGGGAGTATTAATAGGTGATATGTATAAGACACTTCTCAGGCTTCCTGAAGACTAATAGGGAGGCTGAGTGGGTGTTACCTTTTGGGGAACATTAATTTCTGGAGAGTGTTGAGAACTAGAACTATTAATGAGACAAACTGTATTTCTATTCTTTATTATGTGAATACCTCCTCAGCCTCACCAACCAGGTTTTTTCTTGCCAAAGAACTTAGCTGGCCTGTATAAGAGTTAAGAGTGAAGCTCACTCCCTGTTTCCGTAGCACCAGCTCCTGGTTAGCTCTGGACAGATACAGCTGGTAATTGGGTTCCCAGTGTTCCCTGTGTGACAGAAAGTAAAAACAGATAAATCAAGATTTACCCACAAATTCCATACCTGTGGGGAACTCATCAGGCTCTTTGACCTTTTTTCTGCGTCATTTAGAGTAAGCATATGGCTTTGTTTGGAGCTGAAGTTTCCAAAAATTAACATGTAATTTTAAATGACTGTCAATCTCAAGTGTGCATAAGAATCACCTGGGGATCTTGTGGAAATGTGGATTTGGATTCGGTGGGTGTGGGGTGGGGCCAAGAACCTGCATTTCTGGCCAGCCCCCAGGTGATGTGGATGCCGCTGGCCCAGGGACCACTCTGTATTCATGGCCTAGATCCATTTTGAGAATTTTGGAGCCTCATGCCTCCTGTTAACAACAAAGATGAAAGCAGTTTTCTTTCCAAAGAGAAGTTGAGGAACGTGACCTTGCCAACCGGGCCAGCAGGAGAGGCACCAAGCTGGGTGACATAAAGAAGGTATCACAGACTTCCTTCCTTCCAGCCCTCTGCTTGCAGAGAGAATTAAAACGCGTGTGCCAGCCGGGCTCGGTGGCTCAGCCTGTAATCCCACGCCTTTGGGAGGCTGAGGTGAGTGGATTGCCTGAGGCTGCGGGTTCGAGACCTGCCTGGGCAGCAAGACTTCATCTCTACAATAAATCAAAAAACTAGCAGGGCGTGGTAGTGCATGCCTGTAATTCCAGCTACTCGGAAGGCTGAGGTGGAAGGATCACTGGAGCCCAGCAGGTCGAGGCTGTGGTGGCTGGGAGTGGCCACTGCACTCCAGTCTGGGCGACGGAGTGAGACTCCAACTCAAAAACAAACAAACAAACAACAACAACAACAAAAACGCGTGTGCCTTGGAGTAGGAGCAGTGTTCTTGAGATGGATTGGGATGACCCTTGCAACCTCAACCTACTGGGCTCAAGCAATCTTCTCGCCTCAGCCTCCCAAGTAGTTGGGAATACAGACCCGTGCCACCACGTCCAGCTAATTTTTTTGTGAAGTTGGAGTCTTGCTATGTTGCCTAGGCTGGAAGATACCAACTTGAGTTATATCACATACAGTCCTGCTCTTGTGGAGCTTATAGTTCTAGAGTGGAGACTCACCTTAATCCATCAGTCATGCACATAGATGTAAGTGTGAGTGTTTTGAAGGAGAGACACTCAGTGCTGGAGGGCCTGGTACAGGGAGATCAGAGAAGGCTATGAACATCATGCTCAAGCAGATCTGGAAACCAGATATGAACTGACCAAGAAGATGAGGGAAAAGATCCTTGCAGAAAAAAATCGCATGTGCCAAGGGCCTGCCAACAAGCATTATTAAGGAAGGAGGCAGGAATGTCACAGAATAGGCCTGGCCTGGTGAGAGCAAGGGCTGTCTACCTCACAGAGTGTATGACAGGGACAGGAAAGGTCTGGGGATTTTAAGTGTTTTCCTCAGTCCCTTGCACTTAAAAAAAAAAAACACGTGGGGTTGTGCTTTGTCCTTTCTGCCATGGGATTCAGGTCTTTACCCTAACAGTGACTCTATATTACTTAAAGGAGATGTGACTGTCTTAATTTTTTTTCTTTTACCCATGTGTTTACTAGCTATAATCTCAGGTTTATAATATTGGTTATGACTTATAATATAAAATATTTGCTAATTAACTGAAAATTTATCAAATCAATCACCACTCAAACATTTCTCCCTTCTTACTACAGACATCTATCACTTTCCATTCAGTCATTTTTTAAAAATCAAATGTTCTATAATCCCAGCACTTTGGGAGGCCGAAATAAGAAGATTGCCTGAGCTCACGGGTTTGAGACCAGTTTGGGCAACTTGGAGAGACCTCACCTCTACAATAAATCCAAAAGTTAGCCGGGTGTGGTGGTGCATGCCTGTGGCTCCAGCTACTTGGAAGCTGAAGTGAAAGGATCACCTGAGCCCAGGAGGTCGAGGCTGTGGTGGCCATGAGTGTGCCACTGCACTTCACCCTGGGAGACAGAGTGAGACTTCAACTTGAAAAAAAAAAAAGAAATTTTGACCAGGTGCGATGACTCATGCCTACAATCCCAGCACTTTGGGAAGCTGAGGTGAGAGGATTGCCTGAGACCAGGGGTTCGAGACCAACCTGGGCAAATCAGCGAGACCTGGTCTCCATGATAAATAAAAATATTAGTCGGGTGTGGTAGCTCATGCTACTCAGAAGGCTGAGGCAGGATTGGCTGAGCCTAGCAAGTCGAGGCTGCGGTGGCTGTGAGCGTGCCACTGCACTCCAGCCTGGGTGACAAAGTGAGACTCCAAAAAAAAAAAAAAAAAAAAAAAAAAAATCAAATGTTTAAAACACAAGTGCAACTGGATCAAATTTTGAAACTGCATTTCTGCAAATTATCCAGGATTTCATAAATGTGATTTTGTTTTTAGTTTTTATTTTAGATTCTGGGGATACACACGTGTGTTCATTACATGGACATGTTGTGTAGGGGTGGGGATTGGCTCAGGTGACCCATTCCCCAGATAGTGAACGTTGTGCCCTGTAGGCAGTCTCTGAACTCTCGCCCTTCTCTCCCTCCTCCCTTATTGGTGTCTCAGTGTCTATTATTTCCATCTTTGTGACCATTCATTAGCTCCCACATATGAGTGAGAACAGGCGGTGTTTGGTTTTCTGTTTCTGAGTCAGTTCACTTAGGATGAAGATCTCTAGCGCCATCTGTGTTGCTGCAAAGGGCATGATTTCATTCTTTTTTTATGGCTGCATAGTATCCTATGTTGTACATATGACACATTTTCATTATCCACTGATCAGTTGATGGGCTTTTAGGTTGATTCCACATCTTTGCAATTGTGAATTGTGCTGTGGTGAACATGCAGGTACAGTTGTCTTTTTTTATATATAACAATCTCTGTTGCTTTGGGTCAGCACCTAGTAGTGAGATTGCTGGATCAAATGGTAAATTTACTTTTAGTTCTTTGAGTAATCTCCATACCGCTTTCCTAGAGGTTGTACTAATTTACACTCTTACCAACACTGTGTTAAGTGTTCCCTTTTCTCAACATCCATGCCAGCATCTGTTGTTTTTTATTTTTTAAATAATGGCCATTCTAACTGGTATAAGGTGGAATCTCACTGTGGTTTTTATTTACATTTCCCTGATTGTGAGAGATGTTGAGCATTTTTTCATGTTTGTAGGTCATTTGTATATCTTCTTTTGAGAGATGTCTATCCATGCCCACTTTTTAATGGGGTTATTTGCTTTTTTCTTGCTGATTTGTTTGAGTTCTTTGTAGATTCTGGATATTAGTCCTTTATCAGAGTGTCTTCTCCCATTCTGTAGGTTGGCTGTTTGCTCTGTTGATTATCTCTTTTGCTATGCAGAAGCTTTTTTATTTGTTTTTTAGTTGCATTTGCTTTCTGGATTTTAGCCATAAATTATTTGCATAGCCAGGCTCGGTGGCTCAGCCTGTAATCCCGCGCTTTGGGAGGTTGAGTTGAGTGGATTGCCTGAGCCCGTGGATTTGAGACCTGCCTGGGCAACTTGATGAGACCTCATCTCTACAATAAATCAAAACATTTACCCGGCATGGTAGTGCACGCCTGTAGCTCCAGCTACTTGGAAGGCTGAGGCGGAAGGATCGCCGGAGCCCAGCAGGTCGAGGCTGCGGTGGCTGGGAGCGGCCACTGCACTCCAGACTGGGCGACAGAGTGAGACTCCAACTCAAAAAACAAACAAACAAACAAACAAACAAAAAATTATTTGCATAGGCCAATGTCCATAAGAGTTTTTCCTGGGTTTTCTTCTAGGATTTTTATGGCTTCAGGGCTGACATTTAAGTCTTTAATGCATCTTGAGTTAATTTTTTTATTTGTGGGGAAAGATAGGGATCAAGTTTCATTTTTCTGCATGTAGCTATCCAATGATCCTAGCACTATTTGTAGAATAGGGTGTCTTTTTCCCAGTGTATGTTTTTGTCTGCTTTGTCAAAAATC